GCGCTTCCAGGAGTGTGGGCCCCTGTGGTGGCCATTTGAAACCTAAATCTGGCACAAAGATCCAGGGTCCAATTTCTCAAATAATGCTAAATCTATTATCTTGAGCGTTCTGGCTATGCAATCATACTGGGTAAGTTTTCATTTTATTTTGCTTTAGCTTTGGTTTTTGTGTGGCTGGGATGGAACCAAGGCTCTCACAAGCGTTAAGCAAGTTTTGTCCACGGGACTATATCCCCGGCTCTAAATGTAATCTCTCGCTCTCACTTTCTCTCTCTCATCTAACAAATGTCTCAATCATTCCATGTGATCAGTGGTTATTCGAGGACATCATTTGGGGGCTGAGGGCAGGCTCAGCATGTCTAGGACCCTGTGTGTCCTGTGGGTGAGCGCTTCACCATTAACCTTGCAAAACTGCCCATTCCCAGCATGCATCTGTCACCATAACACATCTGAAAAGCCCATGTAATGACACACAAAAAGAGAGAGAAATAATCTATTCCAGGAAAATCCCAACCCATTCCTGGAATTCCTAACCTTTTCTCCCGCCTTAACACATAAATAATCTTTCCTCCACCAAAGCTTGATCATCCAAAATCCTGGCTCGTGACTGTCTTCCAGAGCCTGCCCATACTCCTTGAGTGTGTACCTTTTTTATTTTTTTTGTCAGTGTGAACTCTGGGCCTAGGCACTGTCCCTCAGCTCTTCAGCTCAAGGCTAGGGCACTACCACTTGAGCCACAGCACAAGTTCCAGTTTTCTGGTGGTTAACTGGAGATAAGAATTTCATAGACTTTCCTGCCCAGCTGGCTTTGAACTGTGATCCTCAGATCTCAGCCTCCTGAGTAGCTAGGACTATAGGCATGAGCCACTAGCGCCCCGCTCAGCACCCGGCTTCTTGAGTGTGTACTTTTGCTCTGTCATCAAACCTCCTCCCAATTGCTTGTTTTGTGGCATCTAAATTCTTTCTCTGAGGGTGACAGGAGGCAGAGGACACTGGGCAGAGGTCCTGGCTGGCCTCCCGGTTTCTGAACTCTCTCCAGCCCTCCACAGAACACAGGTCAGCACTCAGGTAGGAGGTCCAGGGCAAGCCGGTGGCAGACAGACATGTGTGACACCAGTGCCAGCAGCAGCTCTAGCTGACCCCAAGAACACATGATGCCACCTGAGCCTCCAGACCTGGGGGAAGAGTCTGGAAAACTTACATGTAGCCAAGCATTAGAACAAAGCAGTATGCCTGGGCAAAATCTCCTCCATTTTCAGGCAAAAATGAGAGGAAGTAGAAAGAATGTTACAGGGCTGGGAATGTGGTTTAGTGGTAGAGTGCTTGCCTAGCATGCATGAAGCCCTGGGTTCGATTCCTCAGTACCACAGACACAGAAAAAGCCAGAAGTGGCATTGTGGCTCAAGTGGTAGAGTGCTAGTCCTGAGCAAAAGAAGCTCAGGGACAGTGCCCAGTCACTGAGTTCAAGCTCCAGGACTGCTCTCCCTGTCCCCCCCCCCAAAAAAAAGAATGTCAAATTTGTGTCCTAATATCCAAAGAAGATCCAGCGTTCCTAGATGCCCTGGGGTTGAACCAACTCTGAAGCTGACACTGCAAGTGGAAAGGCCGGTAGTTCCAGCGCCAGTGGAAGATATGGCAATAAGAAGGCAGAGAAACAAACTGAGTTTGGGAATTTCATGTAGGCAAGAATTTGGGGTGTGGTTATTGGCACATGTAAATGAACTCAGAATAAACAATTCAGGGAATTGAACAATTGTGCAGGCAAAGAAGTCACAAGACCAGACTAGAAGGCCTTAAAACAAAAACATTAAAACCAAAACTGAGCAGAGGATGTAGCTCAGTGGCAGAGGATGTAGCTCAGTGGCAGAGTATTTGTTTAGCATGTACAAGGTTCTCGGTTCCATCTCCTATACATTGATTTTTTTTTCTGCTAGTCAGTCATGGGGCTTGAACTCTGAGCCTGGGCACTGTCCTTCAGCTCTTCAGCTCAAGGTGAGCACTCTACCACTTGAGCCACAGCACCACTTCCAGTTTTCTGGTGGTTAATTTGAGATGAGTCTCATGGACTTTCCTGCCCAGGCTGGCTTTGAACCACAATCCTCAGATCTCAGTCTCCTGAGTAGCTAGGATTACAGGCATGAGCCACTGAGGCTTGGCTTCAATTAATTAATTAACTAATTAATTAATGAGTCACTGGATGGCTCACACCTGTAATCCTAGCTACTATGGAAGCTGAGATCTGAGGATCGCAGTTTGAAATCAGCCAGGGCAGGAAAGTCCATGAGACTCTCCTATTTCCAATAAACTACTCAGAAAAAGCTGGAAGTGGTATGGTGGCTCAAGTGGTAGAGCGCTAGCCCTGAGCACAAAATGGGTAGCACCCAGGCCCTGAGTATAAGCCCCAGGACCAGCAAGATGAATCAATCAATCAATCAACCAGCCCAGCAAGGTAGCTCATGCCTGTAATCCTAGCTACTCAAGTGGGAAGATCAGGACTTGAGTCCAGCTTGGGCAAAAGTTAGAGAGACCTCATAAAAAGCTAGTGGTCATCCTAGCAATGTGTGAAGCCTAAATAAGCAGACCCTGGTGCAGGCCAGTCCTGGTCTAAAAGCAGACTCTGACCCCCAGGTAACTAAAGCAGAAAGGGGTGGGGCTAGGGTCAAATGATAAAGTGCCTGCTAACAATTGTGAGGTGCTGAGTCCACACCCCAGATATGGTTCCTCAGTCTTGCCTGGGTAGGAAGCAGGCTACCATCCAGTCCCCCAAATCCACTTGCCTGTGGCCCAGGAACACCGTGCAAAGCCCCAGAAGGCAGCTCCTGACTCGGTTATTCCCTCAGTTACACCGTTCCTCTGCTTGCTTCTTCTGGGAGTTCACTGTTCGTGTCTTCCATGGTCAGGGCCTGACGTCCATATTTCTCATCTCTTTTCTTCCATTTTCATTTGTACTTTTGCTCTATGGTGACAACCTCCCAGAGAGTTCTCAGTTTCCACTTCCTTTTTCCACTTCCTCTTCTGGTATCTAAGCTTTGAGATTTTGCCTTTTTAGTTTTGGGAGACTGCTTGCGATCTATTTGCACTTCCTTTGGGATTCTGGCTTCTCCTTCACCAAGGTTCTACTATGAGGGCTGGCTCCCTGGCAGCCACATTGATCTCTTTCCTTGCAGGAACTGAGTCTCCACAAAAGGGCTGTCAGTGCATCCTCCTCCTCCTCCTTTTTTTTTATTTTTTATTGTTAAAAATAGTGTACAGAGAAGCTACAGTTACATGAATAAGGTCATGAGTATTTTTCCTATAGAGCATTGTTACCTCCTCCTTTGTTTTCCCCCTACCATCCCTTCCCTCCCCACCCCTCCTTCTTCTCTCTGCCAGTCCAAGAGTGTAGGTCCACTTGCTTCTGGGCTGGTCAGACCCTGGAGTTCCATGGTGGACACTGATGTGGGGCCTGGATGCTCAGTCCCACACTGGGACGGTAGCCCTTTCCTCCATTCATATCAGGCAGATACTCCCGACTGGACTGCCAAAGCCTTGGAGTATGAACACCCAGCTCCCGGTTCTAGAGCCCCCTGTGGCATAAGCTGGGCCTTCATGTGCCCCCTTCTGCTGCCTCACTACCCGAGGACTGCAGACCCCAAGAATCTTCCCACACCAGTCACCAGTAGACAAGCCTTGGCGCCAGAGATTGGGTACAGGAAGCCAGCACGCAGGGGCCTGGGGGCAGTGGGAACTTGTTAGGCAGAGGAAGACAAGAGGGTCCAGCAACGAGAACCCTCCAGGAAGCTGCGTTGAGACAGGAAGCTCTGTCCTTGTGAGAAATGAAGTCAGCGGTTGTCCAGTTTCAGGATGGGCCACGTGGTTCTGAGTAGAAAATTACCAGTAGTTTGCTTGCTTGCATAATGTCTCATGGATGTAATAAAAGCCCATGCATTGGGAAAACCACAGATAAATAGGACCCAAGAAGGGGGCTGATTAGCAAGAAAAGAATGGACTGCAATAAAAGGAGAAAATGGGTAGAAACCGTAAAGCACACAGCCTTCCCACCACAGGAGAACAAGGGGGGTGGAGACAGCACAAAGTGTGCTTCTAGGATGGAGGGGTCCCAGGAGTGCATTTATCCAATAGAAAGCAATGTAACCACGGTAATGTCCAGGAGCCTGTAGTCCCCATGGAACTCCAGCCAATGAGGAGCTGGGGGTGGGGCCTCCACAGGCTGGCCAAAGAGGAACTGGGGAGGGACCTCCACGGGCTGTCCAATGAGGAGCTGGGGGAGGGGACTCAAGGAGGAGCTGGGGAGGGGCCTCCACAGGCTGGAATGTTTGAGAGGGTGCCGCCCTCCAACAGCCAGCCAAAGTACCATTTAGTCCTGCTCATGCGAGTCCATCCTGTGAGCTTAGGGGGGTGAGTGCTTCTCACAGTCCCCCACACAGGCAGAGGGCCCAGGGAGGAGGGCACACTCACTCTGTCTGTGCAATGCCCAGGGAGGCCCCTCCCATTGCAGTTACAGGAGTGGATGGGAAATGAAAAAGAAGCAATGACCCAGGACAAGAGAACAGGCTCTGAATATATAGGCTTTGCCGGCCGCCCTTCTCAGGCACAAAGCGCCCACGGTAGCAGGGGGTTGCTCTTATTTTGGTAGAGACTCAGAAGCCAGCAGAGGAGGCAAAAGCTAGACAGTGGACAAAAAGGGAGGCTGAAGAGAGGCCCTGTTGTCATGGAGGACTGGGAGTGGTTGGGCAGGCAACCCAGGTGGCATTCTCTTGTTGGCCTAGAAAGCTCATCAGCTGCTGGTAGCTCAGGCCCGTAACTCTGGCAACTCAGGACTCTGAGATCTAAGGATTGAGGTTCAAAGTTAGCCCAGGCAAGAAACTCTCGGAGAGTTTTATCTCCAATTAACCATAGAAAAGCTGAAAGTAGAGGTATCGCTCAAGTGGTAGAGCACCAACACTGAACAAAAAAGCAGTGCTCAGGCCCTGAGTTCAAGCCCCGGGACTGGCAAAAAAAAAAAAAAAAGTGCTAATTCCCTGAGACAAGGTGGTTTCCACTCTGTTACAAGATGTTACCCCCCAGCCCTGTGTACCCGGAATTCAGGTGACCTCAGAAGAGAATGGCTCAGAGCAAAGGACACAGATACAAAATGGAGACGGAATTGGTGGAAGTCTCTCACTTAGTTGCCCTTTGAACATTTGTGGGCCCAACCACCCTGAGCAGAAAAGTCCATGAGAGGCTGGGAGTTTAGCGCAGCGGAAGGGCGCCCGCCGGCGTGCACAAGGCCCTGGGTTTGGCCCTCAGCCCTGGAAAAAAAAAGAAAAAAGAAAAGAAAAGTCCATGAGACTCTTATTTTCAATAAACTACTCAGAAAAAAAGCTGGAAGTAGCACTGTGGCTCAAGTGGTAGAGTGCTAGCCTTGAGCAAAGAAGCTCAAAGATAGTGCCCAGGCCTAGATTTCAAGCCCCAGACTGGCAAAAGAAAGAAAGAAAGAAGGATGGAAGGAAGGACACCCCTAAAATCCAACACCCAAAACAACAACAACAAAAACCCACTAGCTTCTGGCTGGGTACTGGTGGCTCATACCTATACTCCTAGCTACTCAGGAGGCTGAGATTTGAAGACTGCTGTTCAAACCCAGCCAGGGCAGAAAGTCTTTTTTTTTTTTTTTCTTTTTGTCAGTCGTGGGGCTTGAACTCTGGGCTTGGGTGCTGTCCCTGTGCTCTTCAGCTCAAGGTGAGCGCTCTACCACTTGAGCCACAGCGCCACTTCCAGTTTTCTAGTGGTTTATTGGAGATAAGAGTCTCACGGGGGCTGGGAAGGTGGCTCAGTGGTAGAGTGCTTGCCTTGCGTGCATGAGGCCCTGGGTTTGATTCCTCAGCACCACATAAGCAGAAAAAGCTAGAAGTGGTGCTATGGCTCAAGTGATAGAGTGCTAGCCTTGAGCTGAAGAGCTGAGGGACAGTGCCCAGGCCAAGAGTTCAGGAACCATGACTGGCAAAAAAAAAAAAAAAGAGTCTCATGAGCTTTCCTGCCCAGGCTGGCTTTGAACCTTGATCCTCAGATCTCAGCCTCCTGAGTAGCTAGGATTTCAGGCATGAGCCACCAGCGCCCGGCCAGAAAGTCTTTTTCTTCATAACCAAAAAGTCAGAAGTAGAGATGTGGCTCAAGTGGTTGAGTGCCTGCCTTGACCCAGGAAAGCCCAGAGACAACACCTAGGCTCCGAGTTCAATCCTTAGGACTGGGATAGAAAAAAAGATTTTCTAAGTACCTATTATAGAGCCAATAATTACCATTCAAAATCTGAAGCTCCATGATATTGACAAAACAAGATGACCTAGCCTTAGTAAAACAATATCAAGCTGCTCTTGCCCCCTGGTGGCTCATGCCTATAATCCCAGCTACTCAGGAGGCTGAGATCTGAGGACTGCTGTTCAACGCCATCCAGGGGAGGAAATTCTGTGACACTTTCATCTGCACTTAGCCAGCAAAAATGCAGAAGTGGAGGTAAGGCTCAAGTGGTAGATCACCAGCCATGAATGCACTTAACCAGCAAAAATGCAGAAGTGGAGGTAAGGC